TTCCCTGATGAGTAACTTTTCTTTTTTTTTTTTTTTGCCAGAAGTTTGTCTTTCTAGTTGATGTTCAGTAATTTTATAGGGTGTGCCTAAATGTGACTTTCTTCATTAAATTGCCTTCCCTTTCAAGTGGCTTTTCAATTTGTAGATTTAGATCTTTTCTCAACTTGGATTTTTTTTGGTATTATTTACAAACATTCTTTTTATGCTTCTTTTCTCTTTCCATTATTCCTATTAGCCACATGTTATACCTTCTCAATTTATCTATCAGCCTTTTCTCCATTATTTCACTTATGTTTTTCTGTCTCTGTGTGTGTATGTGTACATGCACACATGTGCTTTGAGATATTTCTTTCGTTTAGTCTTTCAGGCCACTAATTTGGGCCTCAACAATGGCTATAGTATTTTTTCATTTCTCCTTTAAAATCATAGAATATTAGTACTGGCCACGCTTGACCAATCTTGAGTGCTCAGATTATGTTTTAGTTCTAATTCTTATCTTCTCCAGTAGCTGGTATCACCAGGTGCCCACTGTGTTCAAGCATCTTTCCTCTTATTGATGGTTCTCCTTAAATGTGTTGATATTTGACTTTATCAAGAGAATAGGCAGTTCTGGGACACTTGTGTGAGGCTGAGAATTACTCTTCAGGCACCTGGACTCCTCATAACCTGACTGCTTGGAATTGAGTGTCCTTCAGCCCCAGCACGGCTTGACTTGGAAGAGTTGAATAGAGCCTAGCTAGGAATGGAAGGAGTGGGAGAAACTTGGGGGTAACTTTCTTTCCAAATGCTCCTTTCTTTTTCAACTTTAACACAGTAAATTGTCATGTAGAAAGAGCTATACTGGACCAAGAAGAGAAACATGATAGAGGCTCAAGTGTGTCACAGCAAACTGTGTGCCATCAGCACATCATTACATTTTCTTGTACCTCTCTGGCCTCATTTATAAAATGAAGAGATTGGCAGATTATGGATCACTAAGGTATCTTCTAGCTATAATCATCTCAGTTTATATGAGGTCTCAGTATCTTGAAGGTTCTTTTTATGAGGAGGAACAAAATGAAGTGGTTTTCCAGCTGTGTTTTGTAGAACTCTGAAGATTCTGTAAAGGAGGAAAGTAGGAGATTGGAGGAGATCTTTAGCTTGAGTTTTCCTTTGAACAAAGAATTCAACTGCTAAAACAAGTTGAAAATCACCACCATAACATACATAATCCCCAGAATTACATTTATCACACATGATTTTTCATTTCTCTGTGGTATTTTGGCTTATTTCCTCACATTATATTTGGGCATTTCACCTTGTTTACCAGTAGTTTTGGGCCAACAGAAACAGGTAGTATTTATAACTACTACTCTTTTGGGATTGAAAGGTACTAGAATATGCCATTATGCTGCTTTGAATTCAAAGCAGCATAATGGCATATTCTAGTACCTTGAGCTGAAGGCAATTAAGAACCAGTACATGCATAAGAGCTACTTACCTCTCTCTACCTGCATAAAACAGAGTATAAACTTACCCTTTTGTGGGTACCTGGATAATGAACATTTGTATACCTAACCCTGAACTGTACCCCACATAGTTAAAATTAAAAATTTTTTTTAAAAATTTACCTTTTTATAAAGCAAATCCTCTTATAAAGGAAATTTTTACTAGTAAAAGGTGTTTCTGAACAAGAAAGAGCTACTCCTAAACACAATTCTTATTACCTGAGACCCTCTAATCTGCATTACAGAACAATTCTTATTTACAATGTATTTCCTCCCCTCACCTTCCCGCGAAAGGCTTTCCCTACCTAAAAATCCCAAATGCCTTTCTTTTTGTTTAGCTTTAGATGGTAAGTAAGCTGCAATCATCTGTCTTCCTCCTTGAGTCTCATATCTTTATGGGGCTCCCATGTGTGTGTATGTAATCCAGACTTTGTGTGTACATAAAAAAGCCTTGTTTTCTTTTGCTAGTTTTTTGTTGTTGTTGTTTGATTCGTGGGGCCAGCCAGTGAATCTAGGAGGGTAGAGAAACAGGTTTATTTTCTCTCTTATAGGATCAAAAAGGTCTCCTGTATCAAAGTCACAAAGGGCTGAGCTGAATTTCTATCCTTGGGGTACAGTTTTATCCACAGGACTGTACTGTCCATAATAACATTTTTGCAGACTTCATTAAAACATTGTCTTAAAGTAGGTCAACATGCCCGAGACACTGACTAAAGCGCTTTGAGATGATTTATTTAAGCTTGAAATGTTGACTAATGTTTTTCACCAGGAATGGCAAGGTTTGAAATTGCTGATGTTTAAGACCCCAGGGCCTTTTTTTATTCTTTTATTTTAAAAATGATAAATGAAAACATTAGGTCTTACTGCAGATCTCTGCACAAAGTAGGTGGTTAATACCTTTGGAAATTATTGCATCTTAAATGTCTTAACAAAAATGACCGAATGGAGAGATAACATACTAAAGATGGGAGATTTAATAGAAGATCCACCCCAAACCTAAGCATAGTTCTACCCAAGCTCAAGATAATTATAGTGAGCACTATAATGAACAAGTGTAGGATTCTTTGGTGTAAGTAATCACCACATACTAAAAGTAAAAATAAACTTTATTTAATGACAGTCTGCCAGTATCTATAGATTTCAGTTTCTAGTTTCATTCTTGTGTGAGAGTTCTGGTCGTCTTTGATTTAAATCTAACAAAAATAACACAGTGGATATCAATTTAAGGCACAGAGCCTTAATTGATCGAAATACAGATAAGTTACATGATCTCTTATGTTTCACTTGTGCTAAATAAGGAAAAATAAGTGAATTTCCCCCAAAGTACTGGTCCATTAATCATGGGGTTTCACAAAACACACATAGTATTTCTCTGCATGAAAGGGAAAAATGCAAACAACTTATGTGAATATGCAGTGACCATGAGTCGGGGTTCTAGAAATCTGGGCCATGCAGACATTACCAAACTTTGACAGATTATAAGAGTATAGTGAACTCCTTGAAAGAATGCCAAAGCCGACAAAGGAGGTTGTGTTGTTAACTCTGTCTACAGAAGAACCACGAAGTTCTCATTGTGGAATTTCCCTCACATCATGTATCTGAGCCTCTCAAGGTCTAAGCATTCACCTCTCTGCAATAAATTGAAAATTTATATAGACAATGAAATCAGCACATTAGTATCTGTTGTTTTTTTTTCCTTTTCTTTCCTTATTTCCCTGCCTTTCTATATGTCTCTGTTTCTCTCTGTCTCTCTCCCTTCCTCTCGTCTCCTTTCTCCTTTATGAAGGAGTTTATAACTGATGCAATCAACATACCACACAGGAATACCTGGTTTGTAGTGAGGCTGCCTCCAGGCTTCTGAGGTGCAGAGTAATTTGGTTGCTTTTGATAAGCTTCACTTTCGGCAACCTTAGTTTCTACACTTAGTTAAACTAAAAGGAAGCCTGCATACATGACATAGGGTGCGACCCAGGGTCCAACACCCTGGGTTATAAGACCTTATCTGTGCTGGCCAACTAGAGCACAACTGGATGTGCCAGATACTCCTTCCTGCTGTCAGCTGTCAGCACAGGCACACCAGCTTCCTTCTCCTAACACCCGCAAGCCTTGGGATCTTGAGCTTCCCCTTCTAAGGCTGGATTGCAAGAATCACTGCTCTGTATCCACATTTCCACCATTGTCTCTTCCCAAACACCAAACTCTTTCCTTATAATCATTAGCCACAATTTCCTCTTACCAAAGTAAGATAGGCTGGGTGCGGTGGCTCAGCCTGTAATCCCAGCACTTTGGGAGGCTGAGGAGAGAGAATTGCCTGATCCCGGGGTTCAAGACCATCCTGGGCAACTTGGTGAGATCTCGTTTCTACAATAAATCACAAAAACTAGCTGGGCGTGCTGGCTTGCATCTGTAGTTCCAGCTACTTGGAAGGCTAAGATGGAAGTATCGTCTAAGCCCCATAGGTCGAGGCTGCGGTGGCCGTGAGTGTACCGCTGTGCTCCAGTCTGGGTGACAAGAGTGAGACTCCAACTCAAAAAAAACCAAAACCAAAAACAAAAAAGCTAAGATAAAATTTTGCCACTGGAGGACCAATAAAATCAAAGCGTTATTGCCTGCCTGGCCCCTAAAAGCATTTGAGTTTGTAGCCCAATAGCAAAAATCTTAAAAATCAATAGAAGAAGACCATTTCCCTTTTATGACAAGGAGAGGGAAGCTATCAAAACACACAAGGAACAATAAACAAGGTAATGTTGCAGTTCAGTCACCTGAGAGACTGTAATAACTGTAGACCCATCATTATTCAGAGCCTCCCTGAGACTAAAACTTATTATAAAAATTACATGCTTTTGGAAATCTTATAAGAAAGCTTAATTTTTTTATTTTGTTTTTTATTTCAGTTATTTTTAGGCAGAACATTAGTTGAAGTCAGTAAAATACATTTAAACAAAAAGATGAATTCAGGTAAATCACTAATTAGTAACCATAATTCCCCTCACGATAGTTAATACTTAAAGAAGACTTAAATACTATTAACTCCTTTAATCTTACAAAAAATTTTTGAGGTAAACAGTAATATTATCTGCATCTTGCAGAGGAAGAAACTAGAGATTAGTGAGATTAAGAAACATAGTTTGTAAATTGGAAAACCAGTGGGAATCCAGGTCTCTGGGCCAAAATGCAACTGTTTAATCTCTCCTGCCACTTCATGTATAGATAACTATAGATGTGAAAAGAAAAAGATGGGTAGGTTTGCACTGTAGCACTGAAATTATTATTGCAGACCATTGAATTGCACAGTACTCAAAAAGACATAATGTACTCTGTGTTCATGTTACTACTCTCTCTATATGAACTTTTCTGAAAGAATTTCATAAATCTTCCATGAATACCAATTGCTGAAGTGCTTACCTTTTGAAATTTGAATGAAAGTTTTCATTTTTAATAAGCTTATATTCCTGTTTAAAATGGCAAACATTTAGGTTTTCTGACTTTCTTTGTCTTGAATATTTTTTCCAGGGTCAACGACTTTTTGAAAAGTTGCTCCAACTGACTTCACAAAATATTGAAATCAAGCTAGTGAGTGATGTGACAGCCAATTCAAAGGTATTAGAAGCCTTGAAATTAAAGGGTAAGGCCAAGGTTGATATGCTACTCTACCACCGGGTATTTTGTTATGATACCTTCAATGTCGCTTAAAATAATATGTAATGTCTTTATAATCAATACACTTCACTTAATATACTTATTTCTCCTTCTTTGAAAAATAGCCTGACTGGTTTTTAAGTGTGAGAACTAATTAATCATTACTACTGGGGTATTTTTTTACAGTGTTGTTGCATATTTGTTTTGTTGTACCCGAATCCTGAATCCGAGAGACCACCAAAGAGCCAGCTCCGATGCATATCACACGAGGGTCTTTATTCAGACTCGAGTCTGGGCTCACGTTGGTAACCGGCACAGTGGTACAGGGACAAGAGCCCCGACCCAGCGCAGCAAGCAGCTTATATACACAGTTACAAGGGAGGGGATGAACTTTAAACTTGTTCGCACATGATTGGGTAATTTCTCCTACTGGGTACGGGGGCATTTGGGATTGGTTGGTTTGTATGGTCGCCGGTCGCAGCTGACCGCGGCTGACCATCAACGGTCAGGTGGACTGGGTGGAACGGTTGGGACATCTGGAATGTGAGATTACTAGGGGAGTGGAGCAGGAAATTGGGCCAGAGGGTCTGCACCATGACTCCGCAGTTTTCTTTTGGTATGTGAACTTGTTTGCCAAAAGTATACTACTGGGCTTGGGTGGGAAAGCAAGCATACATCTGAGTTTTAAAGACAAGTTTCAATATACATTCAAAATAAGCTTCAACCTACACTTAAAACGAGTTTTATCATGCAATTATGAACTAGATGGCCCTTGAGCTCCTCAGTTTTTTGCAAAATAATCTACTGGCTAGTAAATGATAATTAACTAAAAAGAAAAAAAGAAAATATTTTCCTCTCTGAACACTTCAATAATGTGATTAGAGAAAAGAGCCACTTCTCTGAAGAACAAACACTGAATCTCTGTTTTTCTCTCACCTATCAAATGAATATCTTCTTTATGCTACATATTCCTTAATATAATTGGGTCCAGGATTCTATAAAATACAGCCTGATTTATGACTTTTACGATAACTCCACAAGACATATCATTTACAGAGTCATTTTGCAATTTGTCTCACAATCTTATGAAGATTGAAAATAATTCTAAAATAACCTTATTTTGTTGTAATCATCTGTAACTGAATTGAATTATTTTTTCCAAATAGTTTCTATTGATTTGTAAAAATTGTTACTTGGAATTTACTATCCAAACTCTAAACCTCTAAAAAAAATAATCAGCACATCTGAGGCAATGAAAATGTTCCAACTGCTGGTTGTCCCTGGAAGGAGATGAGACTTTGGCCTCTATGGGGCTCATGTTTCACCTGATAGCATTTCATCTTATGTTTGTGCTGTTTAAACATAGTAGACATTTTTGCTTGTCAGCTTTCACACGTTTTTAAGTGAAGATGTAGCAGGAAAAATAGAGAGATTGTGACACTGAGACTATTATAGGAAGTGGCACTTTATTACGCTGGCTAGCACAGCGGGCCGAGAACTTCATGTATTTAAATTGAGCTCGAGCACCCCAGAACAGGAGACGTGGGGTCTTATACCCTCATTTAGGTAAGGGAAGGAGGTCGTCTTGAGTGATTACATGCTTCCTTTGGAATCTTACAAGGTTGTACTCAGCAAAATCAGATTTCTCAAAGAACAAATGATTTCCAGGAACTGCAGGCTTGTAAACCGTCAACTTCAGAAGGGGGGTTTTAGATAAGACTCTTTTCCATTTCCATGAAATAGCCAGTCTCTGGGCCATTTGGCCTTTCTTAAACAAAACTTGCCCCAGCGCCTGGCGGGTCTTTAAAGTTGCAACTTGCTTAGCCGGGCTCGGTGGCTCAGCCTGTAATCCCGCGCGCCTTTGGGAGGCTGAGGTGAATGGATTGCCTGAGCCCGTGGGTTCGAGACCTGCCTGGGCAGCAAGACCTCATCTCTACAATAAATAAAAAAAAAAAATCAGCCAGGCATGATAGCGCATGCCTGTAATTCCGGCTACTTGGAAGGCTGAGGCTGAAGGATCGCCAGAGTCCAGCAGGTCGAGGCCGCGGTGGCCGAGAGCGGCCACTGCACTCCAGTCTGGGCGACAGAGTGAGACTCCAACTCAAAAATAAATAAATAAATAAAATAAAATAAAATAAAATAAAATAAAATAAAGCTGCAACTTGCCTTTCAAAAGGAAATACCTTTAACTGCTATTAACCCCTTTCCTGCCACTGGGCCAGTGGCAGCCCAGGTGAGGCCAACTGCTGATCCCGAATCAGCTACATGTGTTTCTGTGTTTATTTACTCAATCATACAAGAAATATATTTGAGCATATGCTGCATCCTGCCACAAAGATGCATTCTAAAAAAATAAAAGACTACAAAGCAAGTAAGTGAGCCCAGGTGACCTTTTATCTGAAGAAAAAAAGTTAGAAGTGATAAAGTGTATTGAAAGTTATAAATATATAGAAGACATAAGCTTAGCCACACACTTGTACCTGTTACCATGCGGATTATTTTTTCTACCCATAAGAAAAGAAAGAAAATGTGTAATATATTTCTATGTCTGAAACTGCATTATGCTATTTCATTGCTTTATAACTTTTTTATATTATTTTTTGTACTATGCTACTTCAGTGCACCATAAAATTTTTGAAGATGCCTAGTTCAGTGAATTGACAGATGCGATTAGCATGGGTTAGAAATGTATTATTATTTTTCCTATTTTAAAAATGTGAAATTGAGTTACCACTATCTGAGAATTTGTTAACCAATATATTTTTAAAAAATGATTACTTTTGGGGTGCCTGCATTTCCAGATTATTTTTCTCATGGAATCTACTTATATCTTTTGTGGGTTTGATTCTCCTGGAAGAATATAAAAAGCAGACAAATTAGAAGGAGAGGGTGGGAACGTGAAAGTTCTGTTACTTTTTTTTTTTTTGGTGAGACTGGGCTTACCCTGTCACCCAGATCAGAGTGCACTGGTACAATCTTGGTTCACTGCAGCCTTGACCTCCTGAGCTCAGATGATCCTCCTGCCTCAGCCTCCCAATTTTTTATTTTTATTTTTGTGTAGAAGGAATCTCACTATGTTGTCTAGGCTGGTCGCAAGGTCCTGGCCTTAAGTGATCCTCCCACTGTGGCCCTCCAAATTGCTGGGATTACAGGCATGAGCTGTCACCCCCGGCCTCTATTACTTCTTGACTGTAGATCCACAAATCTCTTTATTGCAATGGTCCATGCTATATTTGATCAACTCAACCAAAAGTTAAAACTGGGGGAAATTAGAGGTGTAACATATCTTCTTAGGTGCTGCTGAATTTTCAGCTAACCTAAATAGGGAATAACTATAAACAAATTTATGGATATATGCCTGGTTTATTTTCTTTCTTTTTTTGTTTTTCAGAAGTGAAAACTATCTATCTTTTTTTTCTCTTTTTTTAAAGATGTGGGGTACAACTCAGGATTAGGTAGCTAAGTGGTCATCTTACAGGTAAAGTCTGGGCATCCCTTTGGTCCCCACTTAAACTGGTTTGAGGTCAGGTACCCTTATTAATGTTGTGTCTCCTCCTTTCCCCTGGCAGTATCCCGCTACTGCCAATTCCTTTCTTATAATATTATGGTAAATGTTCAGGGTCTGCTTATGAGTGAGAACATGTGATACACAGTTCTTTGTTTCTGTGATAGATCACTGAGTATGATAAACTTTAAATTCATCCAAATTGCTGTGAAGTTCATAATTTTGTTCTTCTTTGTGGTTACGTAATATTCTATTGGGTATATGTACCATATTTTTTAATCCAGTTCAGTTTTGATGGGCAGCATGGTTGGTTTCATGTTTTTGCTATTGTGAATATGCTGCAAAAAGCATGTGTGTGAAGGTATCTTTTTGGTAGAGTTTTTTATGTTCCTCTGGTTATATTCCCAGAAGTGGGATTGCTGGGTTGTATAGAAGGTCAGTTTCTAGTTCTTTTAGGAATTGCCACACTGTTTTCCATAGAAGTTAAACTGGTTTGTATTCCCACCAACGATGTAGAAGCATTCCCTTTTCTCCACATCCTCGCCAGTATCTGTTGTTTTTTGTTTTATTAATGATAGCCATTCTCACTGGAGTGAAGTGGTATCTCAATGTGGTTTTGATTTGCATTTCTCTGATGATTAGTGAGGCTGAGCACATTCTCATGTGTTTGTTGGCTGTTCATATATGTCTTCAGAAGTGTCTATTCATGTCTTTTGCCCACTTTTTAATGGAATTGTTGTTTTTTCCTTTTGACACATTTGAGTTCCTTGTAGATCCTGGATATTAGACCTTTGTCAGATACGCAGTTGGCAAATATTTTTGTCCCTTTCTGTGGGCTGTCTCCCTGCTCTCTTGATGGTTTCTTTTGCTTTGCAGAAACTTTTCAGTTTGATGAGATCCCACTTGTCTATCATATCTCTTATGTTATGAGCTTTTGGAGTTTTGATCAGGAATTACTTGCCTACTCTGATTTCCATAAGGGTATCTCCGGCATTTGCTAAGATTCTCAATGTTTGAGGTCTTTTGTTTAGGTCTTTGATTCACTTGGAGTTGATTTTTGTGTATAGTGATAGGTAGGAGTCCTGTTTCATTCTTCTGCATGTGGTCAGTCAGTTTTCCCAGCACAATGTACCGAATAGGTTCTCCTCTCCCCAGTGGTTGTTGTTGGAGGTTTTGTCAAAGATGAGTTGGTTGAGAAATTGAAGTTTTGCTTCTGGAATCTCTATCCTGTTCCACTGGTCTATATGCCTGTTCTTGTACCAATACCAGGTTTTGATTATTGTAGGCTTACAATAAAGTTTAAAGTCTGGAAATGTGATATCTCCCACTTTGTTTATTTTGCTAAGAATTGTTTTGACTATTCATGGCCATTTATGTTTCCATATGAATTTCTGTATTGTTTCTGGGTCTAAGAGGAATGATGTTGGTAATTTAATGGGTATAGCATTGAATCTGTAGATTTTCTTTGGTAGGATGGACAT